TAGAGAGAGAGAGAGAGAGAGAGAGAGAGAGAGAGAGGTGTATATATACGGCTATTCATATTATCATTATTATTCAGCATCTTTCATGTATTTTTATTGTGAACTATGTCAAGTTCCTATGTAATTAAGTATAAGATGTACTATACATACACAAACTGGTACGTTTTGCGATAGCTCGATCAGAAGCAGTTTCTTTCAGCAGAAACACCAATTTATGACTTCAACGGGGGAGAACAATTCTCGCTACTGACAATCTCAACTTTGGTAGGGCTTCAGGGAATCCTATGCCTTTTTCGGTATAGTATACACTATATAGGAGCATAGAGTAGATCAGTGTACATTAGAAAAGTCAGCTATAATTCATAGACGCCCGCATCACATACGGGTGCCGTTTACGTGCCATAGATTTTTATAAGGTATAGGTTAGTCTCATCAATTGTTACCACTCAAATGATCGATCTATGTAATTATGCAAAAGCGTCACAATCTAGAACCACTGTTTTTCCACAAATGATTTAATTATTATATTAAAATCTGTGTTACTTTTTGAATTTTATTCGATAATAGATGCTAGCGGTAGTATGATAGTGTTGATTTGTTAAAAATGATCGTTTTTAAAATATCATTCTGTGGTCTGGTGTGAACTTTCAGTTATATGCGCAAGTCTAACGGCGTTCATGTCTATGAACCTGTTTCATGCGTACAACGCCTGGTCGTGGCATTACGCCTTTCTTTTTGGAGCCATCCTTTCGGCCACTGATCCAGTTGCAGTCGTAGCCCTTCTCAGGGATATTGGTAAGTAAAAACGACAGTTTATACACTATATGTAGTTGAATAAAACAATCTCCGCTTCTAATCGTTTTAAAAAATCTGCTTTCTATCAGAAATCAAACGTTTACCGGTTGAACTAATTGAAACCTCCTATAATAATAATACACTTGGTGAAATGCATTTAAAATGCTACATGAGAGCGTCTATGACGAGATCCAATTAAATGATTTTCTATGATATTTTTTTTTTCTGAAATCGAAGCCCAAATAGCCTGTCCCGATTCAGCTAGCTGGCTTACTCGAAGGTCGTCTTCAGCCAGCCATATGGCCTCATTGCTATGCCATGCTTGGCAAATATTGACGGAGCTGTTACCCAAAGGTGCGACAGCAGGCACCGCATAAGATAGCTGGTCCAATGGAAGGCTGCTTTTCAGGCTTCTGGTCCAGCCAGAAACTGAATGAATCAATATTCTATTAAAAGCAGAGAGAGACCCTTATCTAAGTGTAATCAAATTGATAGCCTGGTAAAAAGAGATTATGAACGTAACTCACAGAGGATCAATGGAATGACCACCCGTATGACTGACCTTATATAATCCCGTTGTGGCATTTACTTCAGCACGTACATTTACAGGACGTCTTCAGTTCAGTACAGAAGGACGTCAGGATCTTTCTGTAAGTGGACTATGCGAATATGCCTGATGACTACAGGCGAGGTTGTGCTCGTTGTTATGATATGTCCAAGAATAAATAGAGACATATGCGTCATCTCATATATATTTGCGATGAAGTAACGAAATGTTACGTTTTAAAAAAGGACAAAACATAATCATTAATCCATATTTATTTTGATAGATATTTTCTGCTCTTAGGAACATTGATAATCATTATTACTACTCGCTAGAACAATTGTGGACATTTGACAAAGTAGCAGATGGACATAGTTTACGGCTAACTTACCGGAACGACGACTGGATGAAGCAGTTTTGCCTAACCGACTTTTCAGCGGTTGTCCTAAAATACCTCCTATCTCTCTACATCGCACAATGATTTACAGAAACTATTATAATTTAGATTATATTACAATATCCTCAATTTACGGATTGGCTGCCTACAGACATGACCCTACCCACGCACTCCGTAATGTTTTTTAGCCTTATTCCTTTGCTCAGAACCCATGCGATGGATGACTAGATAGTGACTGATGATGGACAATTCTATTCAACAACTCTGTATGCAGTGTTGGAAGAAGTCGATCGTGCTTGATGTTCGTGGAAAATCTGCCATACTGGAACTTTGGTTCGTCCGCACTTATCGCCAATGTCGAGGTCTTCTATTTTCCTATACTCGCGCATTCTTTTTCAATATAATCGTACGCATCGACACGATTGAGATGGCAGTCGAGATCACACCTTGCAATCAGCCTAGCTAGAAGAGATGTCGTACACTAGAAATTAATCCAGATTTCGGTGCTCGAGAATGTTTTGTGGATGGGGATCGCTTCCATCAAACGCATTTCGTTGGTCATCTCAACTATCGAAGCATGACAGCATTTGTAAATGGGTCTTTCGTTAGGGATTGCTATAGCTGGGCTTCTAGCTAATGCTTTTGTTGTGTTAGTAAAGTTGCCGCATTGAATAAGTACAGTCGACCGGCCTAATGCTGAACAGCACGGGATTATGCGGTCTGTTCTAGCGACTGTGTCTCAGTGTCTGACTCGTCAAGGGAAATATTTGTCCGCCAGGAATGGGCAACGTGCACGCAGAGGGCACGCTATGAATGGAAAGAAGTATGTTATTCAAACAGCAACGGGCAATTCATCCCCAGGTAGCTAACTGATTATCAAGCAGCAAATGTAATGGCCAGTGGGATTACATAATGCAGAACTATCTACGGCAGAGGATAAACGCCAGTGACACTCGTACTTGACAAGCTTCATTTGGTTGGGGGAAGGATGGTGGCGTAATAAAATTTAATCGTGTTCTGACGGCCGGAAGCGTTTCGTCTGATCCAGTTATCAAAGGGGTACTGTTTTCGTAAGAGGTAAACTGGAATTAAAGTTCCAAGGCTAATAAGGGGAAGGTCTAAGTCCGTAAGGAATACAAGCTGCGGATTCTTTTGAAGCCGCTTATCAATGAGAATCATAATATTTTAGGGACTAAGCCTCAGATCGACATGGTAGCCCGGTAACACAGACACTGTCTGAGTCACGATGTTTTTGACACGAGAAGCCAGAACAAACGAATGAGATCTTTTAGAACTGACTATTTTTTTATGAATAAAAAAAAAATTAAAAACCCGCTAGCCAGTGTTGTCAGCCGATGTTAACTCTAGCCTGTGGTGAAAAATATCCTTTGTGATAGTATTGAACCTGCTGAAGATGGATGTATCGAGTATGGACGTTCGAACCCAATACAATAGTAACGGAATTTTACGACGCTTAATTGGGTTCATCATTAAAAAAAAAATAGCGCAAGATGGTAATTTGCATTTTGCCCACGAGTGAGTATAGTGACTGTGACCACAGATGCCACTATCGTTCGAAACAGTTGCCCTTGATAGCGTCCAGTGCAAGTTATTAAACAATTCTTAGCATTTATTCGTTTGCGTTACTTTCCTAAAGACAGCCACGGACCAAAAAGTGCCACGCAGATTGAAATCGCTCCATCAAATGTGCAATAGATAAAATGTTAGCTATTAAGGAGTCTGGTCCGTCTGTTCCTTAAACTCTCCGACCTACGACTACTATAGTAAAAGACGGAAATTAGAGAGGAAACGAGGAGGGCTCTTTTTTTTTTTAGTATTAACGTTGTTTACAATACTGAATTAAACTTTCATGTCTTCAAATAGCATCATAACGTGGAGTTCATGATCAAGCGGCGCTGATCTTAACGGGTTATTAATCCTGTCTGTTCGTCTCTGGCAAGCGGCTACTGAGCAACCAGTCGAGAAGTCATTTGTGTGGATGGGCTGCAGTTGCCTTGGGCCCAATCCGAACTTGAATAGTAACAGACCATAGACGCCAATAGAGCGTCACATCACCGGAAAAAAAAACGCCAAACAGTTTCATGATTTTGCATCGACGGCAGCTCAATCACCCTGACGCATTGGTATTAGGCCGCGGTGCTTGCCTGGCGAGGCAAACTTAAATTTGCGCGCCATTTTCTGATGTTTCTCTCCTTTCTTATCGCTGTGACTGCTGCCGGACGAAAAACTACGTAAGTAACGATAACCAATATATATGTAGGTCATCATTAGGTAAAGAGAATACGTGTATCGAGTGGTACAAATAAATAACACGAAATCAGACAGGTTGGAAGATACTAGAAAAGGAAATTTACAATCTAGCATTTAATTACAAGGGAACAATAGTAGCTGCCACTGGGGACGCTACCTTAATGAAGTGTAATAACTATGAAGTGCTTTCAAGAATGTTTGGTTAAGATATACTACATTAAGTGGATATTAAACAGGAAGATTTGTTGTATGAGACATGGAAATTTGATTTATCGATTGAGTAGACTACAGGCACAGAAAGATGGATGTTTGAGTTTAGCTGGCGTCTATGAGAGATGTTAGACTACCTTGATAAGGAGCTGTGGCGTCGAGGTAACCTACATAACGCGGTAAACTATAACTTTTATCGTAAACCGTTTCAGAATCCGGGTATCATCAGACGCTTGTTCTGACGAAGCCATTGTAGCGTATAGCAGACGACGATTAAAGCAGATATTGACTAATGGGGATGATACCGCGGCCACGAGAGAGATGACTTCCGCTTGGTGTGCATTCTCAAAAATACAATGTTGCCATTCAGAATACTTATATGAGATTGCGATAGTTCCCAGCAACTATGTGGCATCATAGAAAACTGGGTCTGGTCCAATAGGAATAATTTCAAACGCTATGGTCTGTTTGGTTCAATGGCATAATTTTCTCGGTTTAAAAAAAAATTCCCAGTTGTTACTTGGACGAATTATTCGCTTCGAAAAAAGCTATCGGTAATTGAGCGTTTGTCTCGTGCGAAAAAACTCGTCACTTGTTCATACATGTGATGATTCATGCTATACATGCCTCGGCAATAATCGAAGGGGCCGTCTGAGTCATTCTCTGAAAGTTATTCTAATCATTCCTGATCGCAAGCAATTGTGTTAATAAGTTAGACGAACTATGTACACGTTCAACTGAAGGCATCTTCCTAAACCTCTTCATCGGACACTTGCCCAAATAGTTCGCTAAGAATGAGTCCTGCCATTATCACGACAACGTTAGCGGAGACGCAATCACGGACTGGCCGATCACGAATCGCTTGCCTAATACCTCTGGCAAAAATTCAACTAGTTGCTCGCAAACGACGGAGGAGCTTTTGCTGTTAACATGCGCGCATCGCGGGCTACTGGTTCGCTCGCTGTGGATACTTCGTATGTAGATAAGAAGATTATCTTAAATTCTTATATATATGCCTGTTCCAGAAGCTAACGTATTCCAAAAACCCAAAAGGCGCCACTATTGCAAGTACTGCCGAGGTGACGCGTCGTAAATGTAACACTTGAGATGTAGTACAAGCTACGAATATGCCTGCTAACAATATCTACAGAGGATTCTGCGATTGCTTCTGAATGATCACTGTTTTTTTTGCAACCAGACTCCCTTGCCAGCCATCCCCCGCCAGTTTCTGGTGAGATATCTTCTACAACAGACGCCGCTTACTGGCCTCTTCTATAGATTGCTATAACATTAAGAAACACGTAGATCTACAGCGAACAGCTCTGCAATAACAAAGCAACAATGACTACGGCTACAACAAGAAGATTAACAGCAACACCCATTGTTAGCATAAACAGTTCTTCCGATTCTCACACTAAAAGCGTGTATGGTCGATAGATAGTGGCGAGCGTCGGGCCGTTTGAATCTAAACTTCCGCCCACGAACTAAATAGTCTTCTCTAATTTTATTATTATAATTGCATGCACCGTTATTGGCGTTCCTGAGCCAACAACACGTTAAGCTTACAAGCCAGTTCAG